ACTGGCCAAAGGTACTCATGAAGTGGCCAAGGGGACCCTTAGACTGAGCAACCCTGACTCCCCTTTCATGCCATGAGTTACCATATGTGGCTGCACTGTTCATGCCCCGCACAGAGGTAGTGGATGTGGAGCCTGGAATGGCGGGAGTCCAGTCATCTCCAACCCATGTGGTGCCTGCCCAGATAAGGCGCCATTACCCTCCTCACACCTCTGAAAACTGCCAGCCATCTCTTCATGAACTTGCTTCCTTGGAGAACTCTGGTGTCTGGAAATAAACTGTTTCCAATGCTGGGTACCAGAATCTTCAGAAGAGCAGCTAAAGCCGGTGCCGCGGCTCACTAGGCTAATCCTCCGCCTTGTGGCGCTGGCACACTGGGTTCTAGTCACGGCCGGGGTGCCGGATTCTGTCCCGGTTGCCCCTCTTCCAGGCCAGCTCTCTGCTATGGCCTGGGAGTGCAGTGGAGGATGGCCCAAGTAGTTGGGCCCTGCACCCCATGGGAGACCAGGAGAAGCGCCTGGCTCCTGCCATCGGATCAGCGCGGTGCGCCGGCCGCAGTGCGCCGGCCGCGGCGGCCATTGGAGGGTGAACCAATGGCAAAAGGAAGACCTTTCTCTCTGTCTCTCTCTCTCACTGTCCACTCTGCCTGTCAAAAAAAAAAAAAAAAAGAGCAGCTGAAGGTGCTGCCAAGTTACTCATCTCATACAACTGGTTGTTATTCCCCAGGTCACTGCTGTCTCACTCCTCTTCCTAATTAACAGATGCATCTAAAGAGGAACTACTGTAAGCAAGCACCAATCCGGGAGTCCCCAGAGATCACAGACTATTATTACACAGAGGGTGCTTGGGCTCATGACTTCTATGTCCGGTGTTTTTCTTTCTTTCTCCCTTGAAACACCCTTATCCAAAAATGAAATCACACTTGGAGATCCTGAATATCTGAGAAATAAGAAAATAATGCACATAGACTGGGACTCTTCCAACTCCAAGGGTGCTAGAGAGAAGTCCAAAATGTAATGTCAACATGTTCACAGGGCTTATTTTTGGTGGTGGAGCTGGAGGGTGAGATTTTTTTTTCTCTCTGCATAGTTCTACAGTGATTTCCTGTAGGAAGCATCCATTTCATTTATAGCAGGGGAGAAAAGGGACTGCATTTTTTAAAAAAGAAAGTGAAACAGGAAGAGAAAAATTGTTGGTAACAGCTCCCAGCCAGGTTTTGGAGCTGCACGCAGAGTTGGCTTCAGCAACCTGAACAGGAAGCCATGCTACCATTTAAAGCTTTTGCCATTCAAAGCAGCAGTAGGACCATGGGTCCTTCCCTTGTGACAGCAGGAAGACAGCAGGACCTGGAACTTGGAGGGAAAAAACCAGGTCCAAAGAGGGAATTCTTTTTATAAGCACCTTTGATTTCGTTTGCAGGCACACTGCTCTGTTTCAAAAGGAGGGTCACTGGGCTCTGCCTCAATGCCTTCCCGCAGGTGGCCCAGGCCAACAGGTCTCTTGCATGCCACTTGCTTCTGTTTGTGTCCTTTGTACTGTACTTTACCTGTCGCCTATAAAATAGCAGGGGAAGGAGCACAGGAAGGGTTCAGAAAACCGTGTGTCAGAATGAAATAACAAAGCCTAGAGAAACTCAGGCAAGGGAGGAGAGAAAATGATCTCTTGTACTTTTAAAGAAATGGGAAAAAGCAATAGTCTGAAAAAAAGGCAAAGCAACTCCTTTGCCTCCCTATTTGTACACTTATTCTCTCCTGCTCCTTTCTGCTACCACCTTCTAAAAAAGTCTGAGGGCAAAACTCCTTTCCTGGAGTTAGAACACAAAGAGGCTCCAGCTTTGCCTGAGCTCCCAAGGTAACTACAGGCTGTGGGGTAGGAGGATGTCTTCAGCTTGGCTTTCACACCTCCCGCAATCCCCTCCTAGACCCCAGGGATTTCCTGGGGCAACTTCAACAGAGAATGCATGTCGAAGTGCTTAAGAAAACCATATGAAGGGTTTTGTTGAAGAAGCAAGTCCCAGGACAAAATCTGCAATTAAAAGCACAAGCCCAAAGCTAAAAGTGAGGAGCCAGGAGAAAAAGAATGAGAAATAGAGGAAATCCCTTGAATGCAGCTGCACAGACCTGCCTCTTCTTGGGTGTGGGAGCCATGATGTATGTATGAGTGGCTTTGTTGCAGAAAAAGTCTTATGCCATCTGCACAAAATATTCTCAGTTTGCCTAACTTAAGACCACATCTTATTATGTACCTACAAAACCTAAACTGTTATTACACCCACTTTTTTTTTTTATTTGACAGGTAGAGTTAGAGACAGTGAGAGAGAGATGGAGAGAAAGGTCTTCCTTCTGCTGGTTCACTCTCCAAATGGCCACTATGGCCGGTGCTGCACCGATCCAAAGCCAGGAGCCATGTGCTTCTCCCTGGTCTCCCATGCGGGTGTAGGGGCCCAAGCACTTGGGTCATCCTCCACTGCCCTCCCAGGCCACAGCAAGGAGCTGGACTCTCTGGACTCATATGGTGCTCATATGGGATGCTGGCGCTGCAGGCGTTGGATTAACCAAGTGAGCCACAGTGCCAGCCCCTACACCCACTTTTGAACTTGGTATTTCCAGCCTTTCTTTGGACAAAGAATTCCACTATTCTCAAATTTAAAATAAGTTTGTTATAAAAGGAATATTTTTAGGAAATTCTTATGTCGCCATGGCAAGGATATTTCAAAAAGTTTATGAAAAGGCATATTATAAATATCATTCATTGTTAAACTGTTTGCACCAACATAAGTTTTTCTTTTAATTCCACTTTTCACAAACTTTCTGAAGTGTCCTCACAGGTCTTCTGGAAGACATGCAGTATAGAGGAAGAATGATGGGGAAAAAATGGGAATGGTTTCCATTTCTCACCAGCTGTTTTCTATTATCGCCCATTTTTTGGACCCAAAGTAGTCCTTACGCTACCCTGCTCTATTGTTCCCTCTTGGCAGGTCCAATCTGTCAGGACCTGCAGAGCAAGGCTGGCAGCCAGGAGAGTGCAGGTGCACCTTTGGTAACGCGGGATTCTACTTCCTTCCCAGCAGCACTGTTGGAGTGGGCCATGCAATGGACACCACTACATTATTTATTTCTTACACTGACTCCAGTTCAGAACAGCAACAGCACTGAAATATCTATTTGTGGGAAGCCCTCTCTAGAACGTAGGATCAAGTAAGTCCTTTTGTCCTAAGCCAGATCTTTCCTGTTCATCAGTTGCTAGAACTTTTTTTTTTTAATTCTTTTTTTTTTTTTTTTTTTTTTGACAGGCAGAGTGGACAGTGAGAGAGACAGAGAGAAAGGTCTTCCTTTGCCATTGGTTCACCTTCCAATGGCTGCCGCGGCCAGTGCGCTGCGGCCGGCGTACCACACTGATCCGAAGGCAGGAGCCAGGTACTTATCCTGGTCTCCCATGGGGTGCAGGGCCCAAGGACTTGGGCCATCCTCCACTGCACTCCCTGGCCACAGCAGAGAGCTGGCCTGGAAGAGGGGCAACCGGGACAGAATCCAGCACCCCGACCGGGTCTAGAACCCGGTGTGCTGGTGCCGCAGGGCGGAGGATTAGCCTAGTGAGCCGCGGCACCGGCCTAGAACTCATTTTCAAATTCCTCTCCAAACCTTCCCTCAAGTGGGTACTAGCAAGACCATAGGGGCCCTACCTCTACAGACCTAGGTTTGAAGGGAGAGATGCCTGAGCTTTCAAGAACCCTGGGCCTACAAGGCCTCAGAGGATGAGACTTTATCTCCTACCAGTGTTCTCCTAGACCACTCAGCTCCAGCTACAAGAGGATCATTACAGTTCCCAGAACATGTTACCCACCTCTGGGCTTTCTCCCTCGCAAGTCCTTCCGCCGGAACTGCTTTTCCATGCCTCTGAGTAGCTTGCTCATCGCTCCTTTATGTCTTCATGCAAGTATCACCTTCTCTGAGGTGGCCTCGGACTGTCACCCCAGCTGAAATATCAAATTCCACCCACACAACTTCCCACTGCTCTTCCTGCTTTATTTTACTCCACAGCATATAGCATTATTTGTTATAGAATATATTTTTTAGTGATACATAGCGATCTTGCTTATCTATCTTCCCCTCTAGATTGTAAGTACCAGGGATATAGGAATGATATTTTGCCTTTAAACTTCTGCATCCTTAATGCCAACAACAGATCATATATTAGGCACTTAATACATATTTGATGAATGAATAAATGGATTCATAATAAAAAGAGGAGAAAGCAAGAATCTATTAGTGTGTCTCAGCCTGGGCCCCTATGCAAACATAACGTAGACGGGACAGCATAAACAGACATCTATTTCTCACAGTTCTGAAGGCTAGAAGTCCAAGATCAAGGTATCAGCAGATTCAGTTCCTGGTGAGATCTCCTCCTGGCTTGAGACAGCTGCCTTCTCACCACGTCCTCAAACGGGCTTTCCCGTCCTTGCTCACAGAGACAGATCTCTCAGTCGACCCCTTTTCTAAGGGTACTAACATTGTCTTGAAAGTCACACCTTCCAGACCACATCTAAACCCAATTACCTTTCCAAGGCCCCACTTCTAAATCCCATCACACGGGGGACTAAGGATTCAACATATGAATTTTGAGAGGATACAGACATTCAGCTCATAACAGAACGTAAGGTCCATGTGGACATAGATTTTTATTTCTTTTTATTGACTGATACACTCCCAACATCCAGAATAATCCCTGGCATATCACTAACACTCAGGGAATAATTGTTAAATTAGAACAAGGGAAGTTGTATGTAATATAACAGCTGAGCTAAAATGTAATCAACACCATTGAATCAGAGAACTGGTATTAAGAACACATGCTCAGATTTCTACTCTGCAAATATTATAGGACTGTTTATGAAGACTATTAGGACATTGGTTTTGCACTGGTGATAGAGACTCAAATGAGATGTGCTTTAAGTTAGAGGGCCACACGTCATAAATTAGATAAACGTGTGTTTCTCGCTCACCTAGTAGCCCAACCTGTATGGTGGTTCTGCACTTCCAAATCTTCACAGGCCTGAACACTTTCTGTTTTGTAGCTGTACCATTATAAGGAAGTGGTCTCAGTTCCCAGTCCAAGGTACTTCATTTCCTTATCTGCAACACAGACAAGTAGAGGATGGAGAATGCAGCCACTACCCTAGGCATCTAAACATCTGGGCTTCTACAACTATGGGAAAAAGGGGAAGAATTTTGGAATAGAACCAGCAGTCTATGTCATAACATATATTTTAACATTAATCCTTGGAATTAAAAGACTTTGTGTCCTTGACTGCTGAAGGTGGGCAACACAGTCATCCTATTATTTTTTTCTACCTATGTTTGTGCTTCAAAATGTCATAGTAAAATTTTCTAAAGAATTAATTGGAGAAGCACATACTATAGGATTCTCATAGTACTTGAGTTAGTAGGTGGGAATTGATATGGGTCAGCATATCCTCTGAGGATGAAAAGGGGGGGTTATTGTGCTGACAGGACTTTGCAGAACTCCTGAGGAGTTGCTCAGCATGAGTGGTACTGAACAGCCTTCCTCTGTGCCAAGGGGCCAAACAAAAAACAGAAATCAACCATGCCTACCTGATAAATCTTTGGGTTTTTGAATCTCTATGTTATTCTTGGTGGCTCCAAGGAAGACAGAAATACCTGGGGGAGGACACTGTTAATGAAAGGTAATGTTTGCTGTAGGCTATCTTGAGGGCCATGCCTATCCTGCCCCATCTGTGCTCTGGGGGCCTGCCAGAACCACTCCATGTCTGCCATTCTTACCAGTTCTGTTGCAAACTGCTTCTGGTTCTTCTTGCCAAAGAATATCCAGCCAACATCATGCATCCAGAATTTGCCTTTGTAATTATTCCTTTCCCTTTGCAGTTTTTAAAACTCATCCCTAACTATGAAGTACTTGGCTCGTGAGAGGTCCCTGCCTTCTTGCAAATGAGACAGCACTTAGAATGCTAAAGGCCTTGGAACAGCAACACTTCTCAGAGATGAACTCATTAACCTTCAGCACTGATCCAGACTCTTCCACTCATCAGCTTCAGAACCTTGGAAATTGGGGCCCATTTCCTTCACTTCCGCAATGGGGATAATACTTGGTCCTCTAAAGCCAGCCTGGAGTGAAGGTGCCAAACATAAGTAAAAATGACCTCTACGTGTAATCATGGGGTCATTATGACATTCTTATTCCTCCTTCAGCTTAATGTTCATAGGGACTTACGGTTGATTCTTTTCCCACAAGTTCTATAACGTGTCCTGGTCTCATCACGCTGTCAGTAAAGAAACGGATCGCTTAAAAGTTCCGCATTCTGAAAAATAGAAGTTCCACACTCTGCCTTCTGACTCTGCATTCACCTTTCAACATCCGTGCAGGCTTCCAAGACAATGTTTAGTGCTCAACCCCTTAGCTCTTTCTGATACAAGCTTTTACCATCATCAATCTCACTCCTTCCTTCTCTAGTCATCGCCAAGATTTCAGAAGCCAGAAAGCTGTCTCCACAGATAAGAAAGCTCTCCGTGAGAACCACAGCGGCCAAATAGAAGCCCTGCAAAGTTACGATTTCTGCTCTTAGCTTCTGTTCCAGCTGCTTTGTTGTTTAGAAATCAGTCCCTGTGTTTTGCTTTTGGTCCAGTATGCATGCATCCTCATCCCGCGGCATCAGTCTTAACCGAGAATGCTGGTCACTGCTATCCCCACAACAAAGTGAAGGCATGCTCTCCCCACCCTCGGTTACCCTCTGCTCAGGGGTCTCCGTGCAGTGCAGCTGGAATCTCCCTTCTGGTGAGATCTGCACGAGCTGCCTCTCCTGGCTCATTCCTGTAGTCCTTTTACAGAATACTATGTTTAGAAATAAGTGGGCTAGAAGAGAACTTGAAAAAAAAAAGGACATTATACACTCAAATCCTCTTTCTCTGTGACTCTCAGGCATTATTCTTGAATCAAACCAGTATTTCTCATTTCTTCCATCTCTTATCATAATTCAATACAGAGCAGTATTTCTGCCCTTTATGCAAATAGACTCAACTCATCATTCATGTGTGCCCAGGCATGTAAGAATGCTAGCAAGACTCAGATCTAGTCCAGTCTGAAGTAACTGCCACTCTTCTTTATGGACTGAATGTGTCTGTCCTCCTAAGCAACAAGGTGATGGTGATAGGAAGCAGGGCCTGGGGAGATAGACAGGTCAGGAGAGCACCTGCCTCATGGATGGCAATAGTGCCCTTAAAAGAAGAGACCTGGGCCCAGCGCTGTGGTGCAGCAGGTTAACACACAACCTGCAGAGCTGGCATCCCATATGGGTGCAGGTTCCAGTCTGCTCCACTTCCAATCCAGCTCCCAGCCAAGGCACATGGGGAAGCAGCGGAGAATAGCCAAAGTGCTTGGGTCCCTACACCCACGTGGAAGACACAGATGAAGCTCCTGGCCCAACTCTGGTTGTTATAGCCATGTGGGGAGTAAACCAGCAGATGGAAGATCTCTCTTCTCTCCCTCTGTCTCTTCCCTCTCATGATCTCTTTCAAAAAAATAAATCAATATTTAAAAAAGATGAAGGAAAGAAGAGATATAAGAGCTTGCCCTCACTAGCACTGCCTTCTACCAGGGGAGGGCACTATGAAAAGATAGTGGCTCCTACCAGACACCAGATCTGTTGACACCTTGGTCGGAGCCTTCCCAGTCTCTAGGACTGTGAGAAATAGATGTTTGTTGGTTAAGCTATCTAGTCTGTGATTTTTTAAGGAGTTACTTTATTTACTTGAAAGAGTTACAGAGAGAGGTACAGACACAGAGAGAGGTCACTCCCTCAATAGTTGTAAGAGCCAGGAGCCAGGAGCTTCTTCCACCTCTCCCATGTGGGTGTAGAGACCCATGGACTTGGGCCATCCTCCGCTGCTTTCCCAGCCACATTAGCAGGGAGCTGGATCAGAAGAGGAGCAGCTGGGACTCAAACTGGTTCCCATGTGGGATGCTGGAGCTGCAGGCTGGGGCTTTAACCCACTGTGCCACAACGCCAGCCCCAGTCTATGATATTTTCATTAAAGCAGCCTGAACTAAGATATTCTGTCTCTATAAGTAACAACCTCTTCTCACTACTTTATATGAGACCTAAAACATCAGAGATTAATGAGATAGTTCAACTATTCAGGTTACCTGAGTTCATCGACTGCCAGTATTTATAGATTATGTCTAGAGACAGAGTGACCATTAGTTGGAATGTGGGAGAATAACATAGGGACGATATGGACTCTGAGAGATTCACCATATAATGATCTTTCATGGGAGATGAAACAGGAATATTATAATTAGATGTATGCTCTTCTTTTTCATTAGATTTTTTTCTTCTTCTCGTCTTGATTCTGTCTTATTTCTGGATCTTAATATACTCAGATTGTTTACTGCTTAACATTTGTTTTATCCCCTGAGCTAAAAAAAAAGAGAGAAAAAGCAAGAACAGTCAATCAAATACACCAAATATTTGCTATAAAAAGAAAGGAAAATATTCAGGATGTTCTGGACATAAGAGTATTTCAATTTTTAATCCTGTTTTTACAGAAATGAGAGACTTGGATCTAAATTTTGCTGGATGTGACCTGGCTTACCTCGACTCACTTGCTGTAACAATGAGCAAGGGTTTTTAAACTCCCCAGTTCTAGTCAGTTCCTATTATTAATCATAGAAGCATTTCCTTAATCCTTCACCCTAAGAGCAGCTTCCCTGAAGTTTCAAAGTCGGTGTAGAGAATTCAGCTGGAAATATTATCTTTTTAGAAAAATTGATTTTAAATAAAATGGAAATTAGACAACTTGATACAATTACACTTATGAAAGATTTACTTAATTCTAAGGAAAATTAAGAGTAGTATATTTATTTCATGAATTTGTCCTATAAACTGGCAGTGTTTTTTTCTAGGAAGAAATACGGAAAGCAAATTTCCATGAAGAAATCTTTATTCATTTGAAGGCCTCTTGTCCTTGAGTCAGCAGCCTTTCTGTTTTTCTCTAGAAGAGGAAAGGGTTAATTTATATTTTTCCATTTTTTTTTTCCTTGAAGGTTCTGGGCTCTGAAGTGCTGAGCTCAATGCCAAGGCTGCACAAAATAATGAGAGGCCATATTCTAGCTCCTTTCATCAGCATCTCAAAAGGCTGCAAACCCATTAAAATACCACTCTGACCCTACGCTATAGATAAATATGCAATTTGGTGTGAGAGCGAGAAATTAAGTCTCTCCCCAACACATTTGCCTTTGTCTTACTTTCTTCACAATCCATTTAGTGCTACAAACCTCAGTCAAAGGGGGCTGGATAATCAGGCACTTAACAGATCTCACTACACTATTCCAAGTAGAGAGAGCAGCTTGACATGTAACCCCCAGAGCATGTGGCCAAGTCCCATCAGGAGCACAGAGGAGTGGGACTCCTTCTCCCCAAGGCTCTTTCTTACCAGAAATTTTGTCTTTAGGGAACATTTATTGTACCCATAGCACTTTGGCATACATGAATCTTCATTCTTTGAAGGGAAGGTCTGAACATAAGGGCAGGGAAACTCAATAAGAACCAAAGTGGAGAGACCGAACTTAAAGTAACATTGACAAAATAGGTTCCCGAACACATATCTGAGAAAGGAAAACATTACTGAAAGTAAGTGTCTTACTCCCAAACTGACCATGAGACCGTGTAACAGACCTTAGAGGTGTGTTACTAGTGTCCTCTTCTTTTTGTCTTTCTCTTTGTAAGCCATAATTAAATATTTAAGAAGAGAAAAACTTTTTCAGGGGTCTAGGGCAAGGAATCTCAAGGCCAAATTTTATTTTAAAACTAATAACCACATGAGATCAAATGCAGGATGAATCTTAGCCCTAAATTTCTTTTTCTATTCCTAAGATCCATCAGTTATTCATCCTAACATTTAATTTTATGTATGTGTTTCCTTGAATAACTTTGGAAGAAGGGAAGATAACAAACACTTAAGGAAAAAGGAAACAAATGAGTAAGTTAGGAACACAATCCGTGTTCCTAACTGAAATATAGGCCAATGAAAGGAAATCAAACAGATATGCCATTACACTGTAATATGGCAAGAGGTTTGGAAAGGGGTGCCCAGGGCCCTGTGAGGACACAGAATCAGGGTGATGAGTCTGTCCCAACAGTCAATGATAGACTTCTCCGAAGAGACCATATCTAAGCTAAGCCTTTAAATCAGGAATAGGGAAGAAGCACTTCGGTAGTAGCAGAATTAGGATATCTAAAAATTCACTTCCACAGAAAGCCACTTAGAAAAGTGGCAAAATGCTGTCAAAAACCACTTTTTCCAGAATGCTGGAAAGTAAGCAGGGGCTTGCAGCAATCTGAGGGGTGCTTGTTAAAAAAACGCAACTGAATCCCAGGGAAAATCAGCTTCGTTTCTCCATTTCTTTCTCTGTTCTATTCCCCTCTCCCAGACTCTGTCATCGCTTGAAAAGCTATGGTCTTGCTACCGCCATGACAGCTGGGAAAAGCAGCTGCCTAGCAGACACTAGAGAAGGCAAACGGGCTAAAACACTGCAGAAGACCCCATCCGCAGAGAGCATCATTATTTGACCAGTCTGGTAGCTCTCTTCTGGTAAGCTCACTCAGCACAGTTGGTGGGAACATTCCTAACCTCAGGGCATGTCAAGAATCCCAGTCAGCAGTGATTGTGTCACATCACAACAACCCAATGTGGTGAGGGGAGACAAGTTTGTAACATAAGAGGCTCCTCCAAAACACATGAGGTGGATCCAAGATGGCTGAATAGGGCGTAGCCGCACAAACTTCAGCTGCTCTGGGACATGAAAAGAATAAAGGAAGAACCATGGTTCTAGGGACCTGATTGCTAGAACTTTTTGGCAAAGAGCTGAAAAAAGTGAAGACTCCATAGGGCAGGAGGAAAGAGGACAGGGACACCACTGCAGACAGCCACACAGTGCAGGTGCAGCCAGCTGCTGGCTGAGAGCTGCCATCCTACCACGACAGAGTAGGAAGAAATCACCTTGCGACCTGCGTGCCCTGCCACTGGCAGTGTTGGCTGAGCAGCTATTCCACAGTCACCGTTGACTTTTGCTCCAGCCTGGGGAGCTGCCTGGGGTCTGAGCAACTGTCAGGCTTGGAGCAGGAAAGCTGACCTGCTTCTTCCCCTCCCGCACTCTGGCTGAGTGCCGCCCTTGGCAGCAAAATGTCGGGCAGTGCTCCTCTGCTCCACTCACTCCTATCCATATCAGGATCAGCACCAGGAGGAGAAACCATCTTGAACAGAAATGAAAGGAGACCGCAGCAGCCAGCAAAGCTGGTGATCTTGCCTGAGGGAGAAGCTTCTGGACCACACAGACTTGGAATCGGGCCTGGAGCACTAGCTGGGGGCAGGTGCCCACCTAAACCGTGAAGCAAGAGCTCCTTGGCTGCCTCCCATCTCTGCAACGAGGGCTCCCAGCAAATAGGAGGGAAGAAGCACCATCTTACAGGACAAGTACACGTTGTCACAGCTGGCACCTGTGTGAGTAGGGGATTTCATCTGAGGGATAAATCCATGTTCCCCGTTGATTTTGAGTCTGGCCTGCAGGGTTGACAGGGGGCAAGGTGTCCATTAAAGCCTGTGAGGCATCCCCTCCCCCTCTAAATCACTGGAGTCTGTGTTCAAACTGCCATGGCAGAACTCCATAGCTCTCTCCATGTTCAGTGCAGCCTCATGGGACTGAGAGCAGATCCCGGTCCCTGTGACTGTGGGAGCCCTCACACTATGACTGTGGACATTCTGTGACTGCACGACAGGGTTTGCAGTGTAGCTGGGTCTGTGGGCAATCACTGTGTCTGGATTCAGAGGCTAAGATTTCACTGAGTGCCTGA